GTGCATGGAAAGCCAGATCCCACATGGTTGACTGAGGTTGAATCTCAGCAGTGATGGCTTGAAAAGCATGCCAGGCGTGTGTGCCCCAAATCCTGCCAGGATGGAGAAATGGAGAAGGGGAGATTGCAGTGTGACCAGACCCCACTGTTTGTAGGGGAGTACTTTTTCCTACTATGCTATTGGTGGCCTGAAAGTATTTGTTTTATAAATTCTTATTCTGGGACCAGCAGAAGGCATAATGGTTATGTCACTGGACTCTCATGTCGTCTCCCAAGGTTCAAGTTCTGGATCCTGCAGCTTAAAATTCATGTTGGGCCTGTGTGTGAGTGTTCCCAAGATCCTGAGGCGAGAATAGAGGAGACTGGCCATCCCTCTGGGGGGGGTGATTTCTCATTTTTGTCTTTTTCTCTCTCTTTCTGTCTCGTACATGTACCGTATAGCAAAAAAATCTCTTACAAGAACAAAAATTCTTACTCTATTATTGTTTTATCATGAAGTTTTCTAAAGACCACCTGATATATGCTATCCCAAACGTTGCTTTGTTAGAAAAGTTTGACGTATTTTTTTCTGTTTTTCTATGCAAAATGTATCATGACTTTGCCAACAACCCAACAGATTGAACGTAGAAGCATATATGAGAATTAAGTTGCCTTATATTAAGCTGGACATGAGATTTGTAAAAATAAAAAAATGCCTATTTTACTTTATTTTAGAAAATAAATTTCATGTTTTTTTAAGTTCATTTATTTCTCCCATGAGCAAGAAAGACAGAGAAGGAAAGACAAAGACAGTACCCCCAACAGAATCCTGATGCTGTAATCCACCCCCAGTCTCAGCCAGCCCTAGATCCTGGGCTGGCACAACCCTAGCATACCCAGAAGCCTCTCATGTGGTCATCCTAGAAGATCATTGTACTTTTTAATCAATGCCCCACCATACAGTGATAAAACTTTTTGCTTTTTGATTGAAGACTATATTTTTTTTAAAATAAAATATGCTATTCATGTTAAATTGTGATATTTTTACCTCCAACATTTTATTATGAAAAATATCCAACCTATGAAAAGTGAGAAGGATTATATAGAGGACACCCAATCAGCACAGCCTGCATCCTGCAATTAACATTTTGCTTTATTTGTTTTCTCTCCAATCACTCTGGCTATTGAATGCCACTCATTAATCCATTCCATTTTTTTTTTTTTTTGACTAGGGACCTAACTTGAACTGTTAGCTTGGAGAAGGAATTTGCGAATACATTTCCTTCAGGCCTATTTTTTAAAAAAGATTTATTTATTTATTTCCATTTGTTATTATTATTTTAATTTGACCAGAGAGAGACAGACAGAGAGAGAGAGGGAAAGCGAGAAAGCATCCACCAGGTCTGGGACTAGACCCATGGTCAGCTATGTGGAAATACAGCACCTTTAACCACCATTCCACCTGCCAGCCTTTTTCAGGCCTGTTTTTATAGCATAAAGGGACAAGACATCACAGCAGCTGGAATCATGCATTGTGATGGGATTTTAAATTACTTTAAATGGATAATAACTATATGATTTAAATGATCAGTTTTAATATGGTCTAAATAAATAGATGTAACATGCATATGAAAATGTGTAGCCCTCAATTATTTTTAAAAGAGTTAAAGACCAAATTTTAAAAATTTGAGCACTGTTTTAGAACAATTCCTAAGGATTGCGCTGATTCATCTCAGGCCTTTTATGTCGTACCAGAGGCACTAATGTGTTTAATGTGATATGGAACAAAAATGCATTCCAACTTTATACACGAGTGTGGTAACGAAACAGCGCATTCATGCACGTAAAGAGTATGATGTTATAATATATGTGTACCTGTGTTTTAGAAAGTAGGAGCTAGTTCAAGTTCAAATTAACTATATGGAAAAACTACTATTACTGAATAGTATGTTTAAACTTTAGAAAAACCTGAATGTACAAATAAACATTAAAAAGCAGAAGATATAGCTAGTTTACTAAACATAAGTGTAGTGAGACTTCTCTACCTGAACTTACATTAAAGAATCAGAGCATTCAGCCTAAATGCACACAGTACACCTGGGTTATTGGAGTTACATTGGGAGGTCAGTTAGCCTCACCTACAGAAATACCTTGGAAATTGCTCTTGCTATGTTCTGGTTCTTTTTCTATTAAAGTGGTCTTGTCTTATGTAGAATTGGCCTTGGGATAGAAAATAGGAGCGATTTTACTTATTGAGATACTGCATGCCAGTATACTACTTTATGCATAAAACAGCTAGTAGCAAGCACATTTTAACAGATATTGTAGACCATAGGTTATCTTTCTTTTTAAGAGAGATTTTTGTTATGGGGGTGCATGTGCTCGCTGGATAGAAAGACAGAAAGCAAGAAATCACTCCCAGTGGCGATGATCATGCTGCAGTCTCCTCTCCTTCATTCTCTTCGGATTTCGAACATGCACATACATGAGCTGGGCATGATTCAAGCCGTCGGGTCCAGATTTCTAAGTCAACTATGTGGGAGTCAAGCGACGTAACCATTATGCCATCTGCTGGTCCTGACCATAGGTTATCTTAAGTTTAGTAATTACAGAAAAAGTTAGGATTTTTTGTTGTCATTTTCCACCAAACTATTAGACAGATTTTGTTTGGGATGTTATGTTTAAATGTTTTATTTTTAAAGTAATAGAAAGAAATATAGAAGTTATATTTAGAATTTTGCAATAATTGAAGACTAACTTGTTTTTTAATTGAAAAATAAGATACAATTTTCTTTTCTTGACTAGCTCATCTTTGTGGAGAAGGATGGAGTCATATTGGGGATGCTTGTCTTAGAATCAATTCTAGTAGAGAAAATTATGACAATGCAAAACTTTATTGCTATAATCTTAGTGGAAATCTTGCTTCATTAACAACCTCAAAAGAAGTAGAATTTGTTCTGGATGAAATACAAAAGTATACACAACAGGTAACATCTATGCTTGTTTATATTATGGAAATATGTATGTTTTTTAAAATACATTATTTTATGCAATCTTAAAAATAAAAGTGGACTTGATTTTAAAAGTGAACTGGCAGGGGACCAGCAGTTAGCATAATGGCTATGTCGCTGGACTCCCACGTGGTCGACCACGGTTCGCATCCCGGATACTGTGGCTTAAACTTACACCGGGCATGTGTGCATGTGTGCCCAAGATCCCGAGAGGAGGATGGAGGAGAAGGGATTGCTGTGTGGCCATTCCCCCTGGGGGTGATTTCTCGCTTTCTGTCTCTCTGCCTCTCTCTGTCTGTCTGGCAAGCTCATGCGCCCTATAGCAAAAACCTCCCCCCCCCAAAAAAAAAAGGGAACTGGCGAAGGACTTGTTCCGTATGCATATTTGGTGATAAACTTTCATAAATTATCTCATATTTTGCATAGAAAATGCAGTGTTCTACATTATCTTACTGAGTCATTTCATATTAATAAAGTAAATTAAAGCATGTATGTAGAATTTAAGAATTAAATTCTATTATGTATGGCATGGTGGAGATGCTTTTCATTTAAAAATGTTCAGAGCAAATATTACCAATTACTTTATACAGAGACATGTAAGTAATATTTTCTTGGTATAGCTGTTTTTTTATTTATTTATTTTTTTGTAGAGGTTTTTTTCCTATAGGGCGCATGCCCTCGCCAGAAAGACAGAGAAGAGACAGAGAGACAGAAAGCGAGAAATCACCCCTCGCCAGGAGGATGGCCACACCGCAGTCCCTTCTCCATTCTCCTCTCGGGATCTTGGGCACGCACGCACATGCACCTGGTGTGAGTTTAAGCCACCGGGTCCGGGACTCGCACCACGGTTGACTACATGGAAGTCCAGCGACATAGCCATTACACTAACTGCTGATCCCGGTATAACAGATTTTTAAATGTTACATCAAATGTTGGAGAACATGAAATCTGGGCATATTGCTTAACTTTGAGCATGTCAGTCTCTACATTTCTCATTTGTAAAGTGGAATAATCATAGCTAGTTTTTATGTTTATTGTGAGCAATAAATGAGATATTGCATATAATAAATGTACATACATTTTATGTTTACTATGATTATCATCATATTCATTTCTATTTTAAATATTTGTTTTCACTACTGCTATGACTACTGTTTCTAGGAATCCTTATATAGAGGATGAATTCTAGGTAAATAAATGAATTTATTTGGTGAACAGTTAATGTTGACATTGTAGAAAAATATTTGCCCCAGGATAGTGTGTTAATTTTTCCATGGTGAATAACTGAATTTTTTGTATGGGCATTTAGTTCACTGTTCACAGCCTATTCTAATTTTTGTGTGTTATTATTATTAGCATGTATATTTTCTATGAGTATCAGTAGTGGACAGTCTTAGTTCTAATGCCAGTTTCTGTCTATAGAACAAAACTGTCCCCCTTATTATATTATAGAATAAGGGAAAAGTAATTTATCAACTTTATTAATACACCTGACTTTAAAAATATTTAATTTTTTTTCTTTTTTTGGAGAGGTTTTTTAGCTATAGGGTGTGTATGCTCACCAGGAAGACAGAGAAGGACAGAGAGATAGAACGCGAGAAATCCCCCCTAGGAGAGATGGCCTCGCCGCAATCCCTTCTCCTCCATTCTCCTCTCAGGATCTTGGGCACTCACGCACACGCGCCCGGCGTGAGTTTAAGCCACCGGGTCCAGGACTCAAACCTCAGTCAACTACATGGGAGTCCAGCGACATAGCCATTATGCTAACTGCTGGTCCCAATATTTAAATATTTTGAAGTGAATATCACAATATGATACTTTTTGGTCCTAAAATAGTTTTCTTTTATGCCTGGGATTAAAGGAGAACAAAGAGGAAAAACTATACTAATTAAATTTATATAAACTATTGATCCTTAAAACCATTTGCTTTTTGTGAACTAAAGCTATTTCCCTATAAAGAATAACCCAATATTAATTCATTTAATGCATATTTATTGAGTATCGTCAGTATACTTGCAGTCTGTTGCTTGTTGAGAATATAGACATCAAAAGACAAACACCTTTTCAAAAAGTTTATCAGAAAGAGAGACAAACTCACTCATATGGAAATGTGATAATGCCAATGATAGATGCACTCAGGGTGATATGTGCAGGTATTGGATGTACATCTAATGTGGCCTTAAAAAGAATTTTCTAGAGGAATGCCCTAGCAAGCTTTGTAGGAGTTGTAAGTTAGCCAGCTCAAGAAGCTATTTGTAAGGTGACCAGAAAATCTCCATTTCTCCCCCTATCGTCTTATTTAAAGGTTACCAGCTTAGTGGCTGGAGGGTAAGATATATGTAGTGGCATGTAGGAGCCCCTTTGGTTTTTATAATTTAGAAAAACGTCAAGGTATATGTTATACATTTTTGTTGTTAAACATATGGTATATGCAACCCAAGATTTGTTTATTTTCTTAATGATGCCGGGAGATTCGTTTCTTTAACTACAGAAAAAAAGGCGGCCAATTACAGTAAACCTATGAAAATTAGTTCTGTTGAATACCTAGCACGTATGAGTATGTTATTATTGGCAAACTCACTTTCTCTGAGATTTAGAAAGTGCAGTATTTGACATTAGGCATTACTGCTTTTTTCCTTCTTTAAAATATTTTCATTGCTTACAGTACAACCTTGAAATATGCTATTTTAGGACTTGTATATTTTAAAATTTCTTGTGTTATTTGGTCTATTACTATTAGTCACAAAGATGGGACTAAATTATTTTGTTGTTAACTTAAGACTCGATAGTTTGCCGATTATTATACTCAATAAATGAATGTTTTGTTTTTATCAGGAAACAGATCTTTAGCATGATTTCAAAGGTGGAAACTTCTGCAAAGTGATATTTCATTAGGCATATCTTTATGTAAGATGAATTATATCCTAAGTCATTACAGTTATGTAAACTTAAGATAACTCTTCTTTGGCAAATAAAGATCGACTAATTCCTGTACTTTAAAGAGATATCTTGGGTCAAATGATCATTTACTTATCGGAAATGGCTAATGAAATGTTACAGTGATTTATGTTGTGCTGTAATTTATATAGTAATTTATCTTTTACTTTCAGTTGCCTGTTCAGTTCATTTACTGAGTAATAGTTACTTTAAATGTTTTATCGGTTGCTTCATTTTTCTGTTTCTCTCCCCTTCTTCTCAGATTCTTATCATGATGAGTTAGAAAGTAATATTTCATTTTAAAAGATTTGTCTTTACTATAGATAGTTCAGGACTATAGGCGTACTTCTAGTAATGTGAAGCACAATCATAAATCTGAAATATCTATGTTGGATTTATTCCTGCGGTTACCGTCAAGAACTGTAAAAGTATTACAGAATTTTTATTAACAAAATATCTTTCAGAATAATATGGAAATATATGATGATCATAATGTGAAGCAGCATTTTTATTTTTCAATTAGAAACATTATTTATTAAGTACCGTTTTTGTTTCAAGCATTGTGCTGGTTGGGGAAAAATAACCACCATTATTATTTTTTTCTTTCTTTTTGAGAGGTTTTTGCTATAGGGCGTATGCGCTCACCAGGAAGACAGAGAGAGACAGAGAAACAGAAAGTGAGAAATCACCCCCCAGGGGGATGGCCACACCGCAATCCCATCTCCTCCATTCTCCTCTGGAGATCTTGGGCATGCATGCATATGCTCCTGGGGTGAGTTTAAACCACCGGGGTCTGGGGCTCAAATCACAGTCGACTACATGGGAGTCCAGCAACATAGCCATTTTGCCAACTGCTGGTCCCACCATCTTTATTTTAATAAACTTTGCTTAGCGAAATTTCTTGATTACTTACTGTGTGTACAAGTACTAGGTAATATGAAGTTTACTGTCATAAAAAAATTTAATTTTTTTTTTTGAGAGATTTTTGCTGTAGGGCATGTGCACTTACTGGAGAGACAGAGAAACAGAAAGCAAGAAATCACCCCCTGGGGGATGGTGACGCCGTAATCCCTTATCCTCCATTCTCCTCTTGGGGTTTTGAGCATGCACTCATATGTGCCCAGTTTGAGTTTTAAGTTGCTAGTTCCAGAACTCAAAATGTGGTCAACTGACATAACTATTATGCCATCCGTTGGTCCCAAGATATTGAAAAATATTTGTTGATTGTTTACGAATGATGTGAAATTCATTGTATTTATACACTATACAAATGCCTATGTCAACAATCCTTTTTTAGCTTTCAGCGATCATTCATCTAACATAATTAGGATACCATGTTTAACTGTCTTATTTCTATGTTGTTAAAGAGTAAGATGGAGGGGACAAGCAGATGGCATAATGGTTATGTCACTGAACTCCCATGTAGTTGATCATGGTTTGAGCCCTGGACCTGGCAACTTAAAACTCACACTGGGTGCATGTGATTGTGTGCTTGAAATCCCGAGAGGAGAATGGAGGATAAGGGATTGTGGCATGATCATTCCCCCCTGGGAGGGTGATTTCTTACTTTCTGTCTCTGTCTCTCTGGCAAGCGCATGCCTCGTATAGCAAAAATCTCTCAAAAATATGAAGACTATGGTAGTGAGACATATTTTTTTTCTACCCTGACTGTCTATAATGTTAAAAAAAAAAAAAAGAACAATATTGAGTTTTGTAACCATTTCATCTTGTAATATGATATTGGTAACTTTGTATCTTAGAAGATTAATGTTATAATGTACATAAAAATAAAATGTTTATAATTTAATAGAATTTTATAAAAGATAGTAACTTAGATTAAGACTAAATTATTATTTCATGTATCATAAAAATAACATACTTTAAAATTGATTAAAATATGTAAATATGGAATGGATTTTTATTTCAAGCTAATTTTGAAATACTGGTGAGAACATAAAAATAGTTATGTGACATTAGTCATCTTGTTTTAGTTAAACTGTAGACATAAGAGTCAGATTTTATTAGTTTTTTGATATTTTTAATAATGAAAATAGATGACATTAGTTTATCTAAAATTGCATTTTTTGGATATTTTTAATAATGAAAATAGATGACATTAGTTTATCTAAAATTGCATAAAAGTCCAAATGTCATAGAAGAGGTAGAAATTAGTAGAGATACAGTTATTCTTCTCTCAGTTCTCGTGTGTAGTCCTGTATGAAGTCTTCGCTCAGACTCTATATTGTTAATTGTTTTTTGTTGTTGTCGTCTGTATTTATCCAGTACAGATAATGGGAATTCTTCTTTTCATTCTTCACCAGTCTCACTACTGGTTAGATTGATATTAGTAGAAGTAATAGTAACAGCAGCAGTAATGGCAATAATTTTTTTTAGTTTTTTTTTTTTCTTCTTCTTCTTCTTTTTGGCTTTAGGGCACATGTACTTTCTGGAGAGAGAGACACAGAGAGAGAGAGAAAAAGTGAGAAATGACCCCCACAGGATGGCCACAATGCAATCCTTTCCCCTCATTCTCTTCTTAGGATTTTGGGCATGCAAGCACATGTGCCCAGTGTTGTTTTCAAGCCAACGGGTCTGGGATTTGAACCACAAAGTTGACCATGTGAGATCCAGCCTCTCCAGCCTCCACCCCACGTGCTGACTCTATATCCTAATTTTATAGAAGAGGAAACTGACTCACAAAGGCTAAATAAGTGATTCCAATCATGTAGTTAAATCCAAAACCTGCATTTAAAAAATAATATTAAAAAATAATATTGTATTCAACATCATTCTCCAAATATGATGAGATTGTTAATTAGCCTTGGTACTAAATAAGTCATTAAAAGGCAGTTTTTATGTATTTTTCAAGTGTAATTTTTAATGATAAACTGTTTGCTAAGTATGATATAGTATTTTTAGACTTAAAATTTACCCTTTTCTATTATTTACAGAAAGTGTCACCTTGGGTAGGCTTGCGGAAGATCAATATATCCTACTGGGGATGGGAAGACATGTCTCCTTTCACAAACACAACACTGCAGTGGCTTCCTGGTGAACCAAATGATTCTGGGTTCTGTGCATATCTGGAAAGGGCAGCAGTGGCAGGGTTAAAAGCTAACCCTTGTACATCGATGGCAGATGGCCTTGTCTGTGAAAAACCTGTTGGTAAGTAGTTCTATAAATTCGCATTTCTTAAAAAATTTGTTTACAACATATATTTCCTAGCAGTTCCAACCTGGTATTCTGAAATAATTTACATCATCATCTTATGATGCTGTGTACCTAATATTTCTGTAAATTTTACTACATTTTTCAAGTTTATTTCTTTCATGAGACAGAAAAAGAAAGAACAAGAAAGAGTGAGAATGAGGTAGGAGAGAGAGAAAGAGAGAGACCCTTAACAGACTCTTATCACACTGCAGTTTATCCATCCCACTCCCAGCCTTCAAGGCAGCCAGAAGTACAGTATATACATTAAGCAGAGTGTTTCAGGTCAGTGCTAGATCTTTTTTTTTTTTTTTTAAGAATTATTTTAATTTTATTTTTTTGTTATTATTATTTTAATTTGCTGTAGGGAACATACACTTACCAGAGAGAGACAGAGAGAAAGAGAGAGAGAGAAAGTGATAAAGCAAGCCACTAGGTCTGAGACTCGAGCCATCATCAATCATGTGGGAGTCCAGCGCTTTAACCACCATGCCACCTGTTGGCCCCTCAGTGCCAGATCTTGACCCTTGTGTTTCCTGTGGCTCCAGCTCTGGAGAGCAGTGTCCCACTATCTATGCCACCATTGCTGGGCCAGTGTATTTTATTTTTATTCACATTTCTCACTTCTTAGTTATCTCATCATTAGCTTATAAAAATAATATAATTCTATTGTTTTTTTTTCACCATTTTTAAATTGATATGTTTAATGTAATTTTCTCAGTTTTGTCTATTAATTATGAATTCTAGTATACATATAATTAATTGGCGTATATTTTGTGGGCTACAGACTGATTTTTTTGAGGCATGCAATACAGTGTACAATGAACAAGAATATACCCATGTTCATATTCTTCGATATTAATCATTACATTACATTATGTGCATTTGTTAATAGTTTTACTGGTTTTTTAAAAACTAAGGAGCCAGCAGGTAGCATGATGGTTAAGGTGCTGGACTCCTACATGGACCTGTCGGCTTGCTTTCTCACTTTGTCTCTCTCTCTCTCTCTCTCTACTTCTCTGTGGTGAGTACGTGTGCTGCTCTATAGCAAATTTTAAAAATAAATAAATTTAAAATGTAATCAAATGTCAGTATTTTTACTCTGCTGTGATACACCATCCAATAGCCTCTTCCCTTTATTCACATGAAATTTTGTGTCCATTATTACTTTTTTAATGAACCCGCCTCCTCACCTTTCCCTAAACCTCCCCTGGTGTCTGGCATTGCTTTCTCTATTTCTATGCTTTTGAATCCTTTAGTTTCTGCCTTAGATTGAAGGCATTTGAAACATGCTAATTGGGGGTATATGCTATTTGTCTTTCTTGAGTCCTTCAGTTTCTACCTTAGCTTGTGGACACTTGGTATATGTGAAGTGGTGGTATGATATTTGTTTTTCATAGTCTGGCTTATGTCACATAGCACTATATATTCTAGGTTTGTCCATTGTCCATTTTGTGTCAAATGATAGAATTTTGTTCTATTTATTTATTTTTTTGGAGAGGTTTTTGCTACAGGGAGCGTGTGCTTGCCAGAAAGACAGAGAGAGGCAGAGAGACAGAAAGTGAGAAATCACCCCCTGGGGGGATGGCCACGCCACAATCCCTTCTCTTCCATTCTCCTCTCGGGATCTTGGGCATGCATGCACACGCACCCGGCGTGAGTTTAAGCCACCAGGTCTGGGACTTGAAACGTGGTCGACTACATGGGAGTCCAGCGACATAACCATTACACTAACTACTGGTCCCAAGAATTTTGTTCTTTATGGCTGAGTAGGATTCCATTATATATATATGTGTGTCACATTTTCCCAATCCATTTATCGATTTTTGGGCACCTAGGTTGATTTCATGTGAATAATGTTACAGTGAACATTGCTCTCTCTCAATGATTTCCTATCTTTTGGATACATACCAAATAGTGGTATTAATAGATCATATGATAATTCTATTTCTAGATTTCTGAGGAACATCCATACTGTTTTCCACAGTGGCTGTACCAATTTACATTCCCAAAAACAGAGCACAAGGGTTCCCTTTTCTTTGGAGCCTTCCCAGCACTTATTCACTGGTTTGTTTATTTGTTATTTATTATTTATTTGAATTTTTTTATTATAGTCATTTTGACTGGGGTTAGGTGATATCTCAATATGGTTTTGATTTGCGTTTAACTCATGATTAGAGAGGTTGAACCACTGTTTCATATTTTTTTTGCCATTCGTGTGTCTTCCTTTGAGAATTGCTTGTTCAGGTAAATTGCCCATTTTTAAAAAATTGGATTACGTGCAGAAGCTTTTTAACTTGGTGCAATTTCACTTGTATAGTTTTGGTGCCATTGCTCTTCCTTTGGGGATCTTATTTAAGGAATTTTTGCCTACTCCAATATCTCGAAGTGTTCCTCCAGTGTTTTTATATAGTACTTTTTATGTGTTTGGATTTTATGCTTGAATTATTCATCTATTTTGAGTTAATTTTTGTAAATGGTAAGAGATAGGGCTCTAGATTTATTTTTTTGCAGATGGATGTCCAGTTTTCCCTGTATCACTGGTGCAAAGACTACTGTTTCTCCACAGTATTGTCTTGTGGATTTTATCAAAAATCAGTTGGTTATATGTTGTTGGATCTATCTCTAGATGCTCTATTCTGTTCCATTGGTCTATGTGCCTGTTCCTCCTCTTTCTTGCATCCCTAGTACCATGCTGTTTTGGTTATGGCTTTGTAATATATTTTGAAATCAGCTTACTTCTTTTGTATAGTATTGTTTTGGTGATGTGGAGTCTTTTGTGATTCTAAACAAATTTTATGATTGTTTTCTATATCTCTGAAGAATGTTGCTAGAATTTTAATAGGAACAGAATTGAATTTATAAATCATTTTGGGTAATATTGACATTTTCAGTATGTTGATTCTTCCAATGTATGAATGAAGGATGACTTTCCAGCTTTTGTGTGTGTGTGTGTGTGTGTGTGTTTCAACTTATTTATTCATTTTTTTTATAATTTTCATTATAAAATGAAGAGATTTTTCACATTAAAAAATGTGGAGATTTTTCACTTCTTTGGATAGATTTATTCCTAGATATTTTTTCTTTTTGTGGCTATTATACATGGAATGGGAACCAGCAGTTAGCGTAATGGCTATGTCACTGGACTCCCACGTGGTCGACCGCGGTTCGCGTCCCGGACCCGGTGGCTCAAAACTCACACCGGGCACATGTGCGTGCGTGCCCAGGATCCCAAGAGGAGAATGGAGGAGAAGGGATTGCGGCGTGACCATCCCCCCTGGGGGGTGATTTCTCGCTTTCTGTCTCTGTGTCTCTCTCTGTCTGGCGAGCACGCGCCCTATAGCGAAAATCTCTCCAAAAAAAAAAATGGAATAAGTTTCTTCATTTTTGCATCCATCCATTCATTGTTAGAATGCAAAAATATCCAGACTTTTGTATGTTGGATTTGAATTCTGAAGCTTTACTAAATTTGTTTATTATTTCTAAGATTTTTCTAGTGGATTCCTTATTTTTTAAATATATATAATCATATCATTTGTAAACAGGGACAACTCAACTTCTTACTTTCCAATATAGACGCCTTTTATTTCACTCTCTTGTCTGATTGCATTGGCCAGGACTTCCAGTACTATATTGAAAGGGAGTGGAGAAAAAAGCAGTCTTGTCTTGTTCCAGTTTTGAGAGGAAAAGCTTTCAACTTTTCCCCACTGAGTGTAATGTTGACTGTGGGATTATCCCATATGGCCTTTTGTGTTAAGAAATGTCATTTCTGTGGCTTTTTTTGAGGTTCTTAATCATGAAGGGTTGTACTTTATCAAACGCTTTTCTGTGTCAATTGATATGATCATATGATTTTTGTTTTTCTTGCTGTTAATTTGATGTATTACATTATTTTTACATATTTTGAACTATCCTTGCATCCCTGGGATAAGTCCTACTTGGTCATGGTGTATAATTTTTTAATGTGTTATTGGATTTGGTTTGCTAGTATTTTATTAAAGATTTTTGCATCTACATCAGGAATATCAGTTTCTTTGTCATATCTTTGTCTACTTTTTTTTTTAAGAGTTTTTTTTTTTTTAAAGGTTTTTTTTTTTTTTTGCTATAGAGCACTTGCGCTCGCCAGACAGACAGAGAGACAGAAAGTGAGAAATCACCCCCCAGAGGGGATGGCCACGCCGCAATCCCTTCCCCTCCATTCTCCTCTCGGGATCTTGGGCACACACACACGCACCCAGCGTGAGTTTAAGCCACCGGGGTCCGGGACTCAAACCGCGGTCAACTGCGTGGGAGTCCAGCGACATAGCTGTTACGCTAACTGCTGGTCCCCCTCTTTGTCTACTTTTAATATCAAGGTGATGTTGGCTTCTTAAAATAGGATTGGGAGGATTCTCTTCATTTAGATCTTTTAAAATAGTTTGGAAATTAGTGTTAATTGTTTTTTCTTTTGAGAGAGATTTTTACTATAGGGTTCATGTGTTCACCAGAGAGAGAGAGAGATAGAGAGTGAGAGTGAGAGAGAGAGAGAGAGAGAGAGAGAGAGAAAGTGAGAAATTACTCCCCCCCACCACCCCCATGGGAGATAACCACACCAAAATTCCTTTTCCTCCAGTCTTCTCTTGGACTTTGAGTATGCATGCATAAGCACCTGGAATGTTTTTGATGTGGAGCAGCCCAGAATTTATGAGTGACCTTTGAAGAAATCCAGGGCTGATAACTTCCTGGGCTTTCTATTCCCCTGAGAGTTAGTTGCCCCTCCCTTGGGTTGTTAAGCAGCTAGAGGCCTTGAGGAGGTTAAATTCCCTGCTTCTCTGCCAGCTCTGTATGGGGCAGACACTGAGCCTTTTCCCTGATAAGACACTCCAAACATGCTGAAACCACCTCTCCTCAAATTCACTAATAAAAGACTGTGCTCAACTCATAGCTGGGGCTGGAGTTTCAGAGTGTTAACTCCTGGT